TTTAGATTAGTTGGCATTAGAAGGAAATTTAACACCTGTAATTGAAAATGCAATCAAAAAATTGAAAACCGGAAAAGCACCAGGCCCCAATGGCTTCCCGTCCGAGTTTTATAAGAAGTTTACTGCCAAGCTAACACCCCTGTTGAGCAAGGTATTCGCTGAAGCTCTTGTTCCGGAATCACTCTTTCCTTAGATGCCCATAAGGCATTTGATAGATAAGAGTAGATCTATTTTTTTACAGCGCTTAAAAAAATTGGTTTTGATCCTAGATTCTGTTCCTTGGTTAAAATTTTATATTCCAGGCCCCAAGCATCCATTCAAACAAATAATATTATTTCTAAAGGCTTTCCACTCTCTAGAAGAACGAGACAGGGCTACCCTCTGTTCTTTGACATTGCCATCGAACCTCTTGCAACTGTATTAAGGAACTCAGATGGCTTGCAAGGAATTTTCAGAGAGGGACACAAGCATAAGTTTCTGCTATATGTGGATGATCTTCTTTTTCTGTCAAATCCAGATACATGTATTTCAAAAGCTCTTACAATAATTTCAGAATTTGGAAATGCTTCTGGAGACAAAGTCAATCTAGCAAAGAGTCTCCTTTTCCCTATCAATGATAGAGCACAGCAAATTTCCTTCCAATCCTTTCCATTTTCAGTAAGTCCTGATAAATTTGAATAGTGAGTGTGACACGCAAATATAAGGATTTGTTCAATAATAATTTTAAAACAGCATTAGTGCCCAAGGACGTTTTTAGTGCTCAAGGACACCTTACAAACAGTAGGAGAACAAGAAAAGCAACAACCTTAAGAAAGTAGAGAAAATGGGAGACTAATAATACATAAAATCAGGACAAAAGACACAAGAACAAGTAACAAGAAAGAAACTCATTCCTGTCTTTCAATGAGTGCTTATGTGCATTTAGGAGAACTAGGCAGCACACTCAGGGCTGCAAGATGGATTTAATTTAGTATTCTTATTATTAAAATATATCTGAATGAGGATCAAATGACTGAGTTGGTCTTTGAGAATGAAAATCAACCTGTTTGTTCTTGCAGATCTTCCTGTTTGACTGTGAATGTTTCTTCAATCTTCACATCTTCACTCTCCTCTTTAATAAACGCCATCTTTATAACAGTGTGGAGATTCAGTCGCTTCAGCAAGAGTTTTTCTCTGTGTTTGGACACTTTATCCTGTTTAAAATGAACAAAACAATAAAAATGTCCTGTTTCAAATAAATAAAACAATGAACAGAAACAAAATAACTTCTCTTCAACACTTGCTTCAACAGTTTCTTTATATGAGAGTCATTAACAAACAGAAATCAGATAAGTCTGATCAAGAAACAATAGCCACTGATCAGCTGATTAAAACTAGTACTCCATTTCTTATATATAGTGATGTATATTTATAATGGAATGACATTGTGCTATTCAATCAATTAAACTTTCATTAAAACACTTATTACACACTTTTACTTTATTCAAGTATCTTCTTAATTTGTTTGTTTTATTTATCTTATTGTCTGTTTATAGCACTTTTTTGCACAAGACAAATTTCCTCTCGGAACAAAAAGTTTTTCCTATCTTTATTCAAAAAATAAAACTTATTACTGTGAGTTTTAGTAAATATTACTACGTTGTATGAGGGTTAAAATAATATTGTCAACAGGTACATAATTTGGCACTGAATGAAAACACTGAGACTTTAATCAATCGCTTTATATAAGGCTAAACGCTTTAAAACAAACCTTTCTCCAGTTGAAGCACAGCGCGAGAGCGGCGCAGGCTTATGACGTCACATGTCACGCCAAAATAAAAGTCTTTTTTTTTTTTTTTTAACTTTTTTGCCACTTACTCTTAGCCATGAGTCATGACTTATTATATATAGTTTTTCTCTGCGTTTGGGCATTTTATCCTGTTAAAAATTAACAAAGCAATAAAAATGTTCTGTTTAAAATAAATTAAACTATAATAGTAACAAAATAACTTCTCTTCAACAGTTTCTTTATATGAGAGTAATTAACAAAAATAAATCCAGTAAGTACGAGCAAGGAACAACAGCCACAAATGAGCTGATTAAAACTAGTACTCCATTTCTTATATACAGTTATGTATACTTAGAATGAAATGAAATTATGTTATTTAATCAATTAAACCTTCATTAAGACACTTAATACACGTACATCGTTCAATAGTTCTTTTTACTTTGAGTAAAATAGTATTATGTTGTATAAAGGGTTAAAATAATATTGTCAACAGCAGGTACATCATTGGATGAAAATCCTGAAACTTTAATCAATCGCTTTATATATATGTGTAAAAGCTTTAAAACAAACCTTTCTCCAGTAGAATAACTTTTTTTCTATTAATGCTTAAACTGACAATTCAAGCACATCATAACAAAGTCAGAAAGATCTTTAAAAAGAGCAATAATTTACATAGTCATAAGAAAAAAATATCTAAAATCACATACAAATACAAATAATACCATTAGACAGAAAGGGAAAAATATTAATAGATTTAGACTAATAATACTAATACTGAAATTACTAAATTAAACAAACAAAATTAAATGAATAAAATTACAATGACACTTAACCAAATAACCGTAAGGAAAGCAAAATTGAGCATCTTCTTTAAATACATCTGCATAATATTTCAGGAGTCTTAGATTTTTTTGTATTATTCTTAATAATATAAAGTGATTTTAGGAGGGAGTTAAATTCTATTCTAAAATAAACAAAGGATGGGTAATTATTTGTGAATCTCTGTTTGTGAATGAAAAATTTGCCATATAAGATAAAAAAAAGTATGATGCGTTCCAGATATTTAGCTTTTGGGTCTTTTAAAGTCTTTTAGATTAAAGCAATTCACAGCATTGGCAGAAGCAGATATATGAGAATTTAGAAGTGACCAAAATTGCTTGGATATTGGACAATCAAAAAACATGTAGTAGTGCAGGGGTGGCCAACCCTGTTTCTGGAGAGCCACTTCCTGCAGTTTTCAGTTGCAACCCATATCTAACACACCTGCCTGTAATTATCACGTGGTGTTCAGGTCTTAGTTTATTGCTTCAGGTGTGTTTGATATGGGTAGCAACTGAAATCTGCAGGAAGGTGGCTTTACAGGAACAGGGTTGGCCACCCCTGTAGTAGTGTTTCCTCTGCTTGTCTGCAGAAAGAACAGGAGCTGTCGATGTCCAAAAAACTGTAAATACTAGAATTTACAGGGTAGATTTTATGGAAAATTTTAAAATGCATTTCTTTTGCCTTGTTGGAAATGCAATATTACCCAGGTAAAAGCCAGGTTCTATTACAGTCTATATCCTTAACCAAAGACCTCCAGTAAAACTTTCCTCTAGACGAAATTTTCCTTTTACATTGGAAAATTTGACGCGCAAAGATATTGTTACGTTTCTTATCTAACAGACTAACACCTTCTAAAAGCAAATTTACAGTTAAATGTACAGTGACTTTTAACTAGGTGAACTAAACCGGGTGATATTGCCTTAACAATTTTATTAAATTCATTAGGAGAAGTTGGAAAACAGTGGTAGGTTATAAATGGTTCATGAAAGAATGTTCCCTGCATCATCAAACAACCAAAGGATCCATTTAATATTATTTTGAAACCAACTTTGGAAAAATAATGATTTGTTTCTGATTGTAATATCTCGGTTATTCCATAAGAATAATTTGTGGAGAGAAAAATTGTGAACATAACCAAGCTTCCAAGCAAGCAGACATTGCTGGTGGAATTTAGACAAAGCCAAAAATAGCTTGTAGGGAAGATAATTAAATTTAAAAAGAAACAAAAGACTACAGATTTTGTCAAAAAAAAAGTAGTTGGAAATAAAAAAAACAAATAGACGTTGGATTGGTTAGTCATCTCTTTATCCAATTAATTTTAAAAATGTATATGGTGTCAGAAAAATCTAATAAATTTACACCCCCTCTGCTTTACTATTAGAAAGAACTTCCTTTTTTAATTTAAGAGGTTTGTTCTTCCAGATAAATTTCAAGAAAACAGTATAAATTTCTTTGGCCACTTTGTTTTCAACAAATAAAGATAAAGTCGGAAAAAATGAGAAAGACCCTCTTCCATATAATGACAGGTCCCATTGTAGCCAGGAATTAAGAATATTTTTAGTTTTGCTGATCCTAGACAAAAAAAAAAAAATTCAAGTGCTGTCTCACTAAAAGATTTTTAATAACATAAATAAATAACCATTTCATTGTGGATTTAACAAGGATATCTTCTATATATTCCTAACTCAAATTATGAACAGGCATTATCTCACATTTGGAGATATTCAGCATAGACCAGAAACACTTGAGATATCAGAAATTAAATTTAAAGCCTTTCATACGTTTGAGTCATCTTTTAGAAATAAAGTGGTGTCATCTGCCAATTGTGAAATCTTAATCTCCCTTTCAAAAACAGAAATTTCTTTCAAATCTTGATTTTGCACAATGCTTAAGGTATAATAAAAACTAATAAAAATAAAAAAGGAAGAAATTTGTGGGTGAACTATTTAGTTCTAACTACTGATTGACTTAATGTTTAACTTTGAGCAAAAGCAGTTGTCTCAGTTCTTTAAAGGATTATTTAGTTGAAGTAATAACTGCTTACCTTGTGTTTGGTTCTGATGTACCAGTTTTGTGATTGTGAAGAACATAAACAATAAATGAGTAAACAACACATTTTAAGTCATCCTCCATTTATTTACATTTATACAAATTATATTTTTATTCAGGCACTGAGGGAAAAGTCATTTCTGGAGGAATGCCCCATACTGTTTACATAAGACAGGATGAAACATCAGAAAAACAGTCATACATACAGTGAAAGAAAACATAATTACAAAAATGTAAAGAAAAAATGTAAAGGAATTTTTTTAAATAATGTATCAATTATGCACAAAAAACATTTATACACCTAAGCTTTTAACTCTTATTGACATCTACAGCTCTTCTACACTACAAGTGAACGTTGCTTTGTTTGACAGTTACAATCCTGTGCTGTAATGTGACATCTTCACCTTCACCAGGGAGTATCATGTTTATGGCTCAGTGCTTGTTATTAAGATTTTGTGTGTTTTTTTTACTGTTTGGTACTTTAGCATCATTCTTGTTACAAAATCCATCAGACATCCTGTATCCTTCAATTTCACACAGCAGCTGTCAGTTCTCCTCCAACAGGTGGTTTATTTCTACACGCGTCCATACACAGTTTACATTCAGTTTGTCTCAGCTACCTCCTTAGTGTTGTGTGTCTTCTCATCAGTATCTCTCACCATCTTCAACCTCAAGTGTCTCCTTCTTAGCATGTTGGTCGTCCACATCTTCAGCTGACTGCAGTGTTGGTTTTCTTTCCCTCCTCTAAGTTTGTCTTGCAGAGTGTGCAGTGTCTGTCTGTGTAGTTTCTGTGTGGCCCAGATGTAGAGATGATGCTCAGTCTGGGTCAGTCTCCATCATCTCATATGCAGCTTGGCTGGCAATGACAAAGTTAGAAATATATATACAGCAAAAATATAACACAGAAAGAATAAGTAAAAAATAAATGTACTATAATGCTACATGCTTATGAAAAATATGACATATTGGAGCATAAGAAACCTGAATTGAATTTTGAACTTTTAAGCATTAACTTTGTCATCCAATATATTTATATTTTTCTACAGTGGAAAAGAACTAGGTTTTTTAACTGCAGTTTCATGAAGTTACAGTCTGCAGATTTAAAACATTTAAGGGAATGATTTCAACAAAAAGCTATATTTGTTTTCAGAAAAAGAACAGTCCAAAATGTACTTTTTGTCAGGGAGTGAGTACATCAGCAAATCTAAGTTGTAAAAAAGTATTTTACAATATTTTTCCAATCAAATACTTTACTATCTTAAATCCATACGAACTAAGTTGATTCGTAAATATTTAAATGCAGTTCTACCCCCACAACTAAAGTGTTACATTGAATTAATAAAATTATTTGAAGCTCAAGCAATGACAGTTGTAAAGTTACTTAATTTTTTTTTCGTACTTACCTTTGTGATAATGTTTAGAGCATAAACGGAGAAATTAAGATATATTTTGCGTCTCAATGCAGCTGGCCAGGACACCCGATGCGTCTGTTGTTACTGCTACAGTCCGTCAATATCCTTTCTTCCGAGCGGGAAATTTAAAATATCTGTCGTCGTGATCATTTATTACCTTTTTGATTGTGTGATTTACTGTTACAGCCCTTAACACAACAAGAACGTAACACTGTACTTACTCTGCGAAAGACGCTAAAGCCACATAACAGCTCACGTTAACTCGGATACAACACAAATGGCGGCTATGTCCCATAATGCAATTCGGTGTTTACGACGGTGACGTCACCTGACAAAGACCGATAAGCAGACAATAATATAAATAAAACAAACAAAACAATTAAGAACATACCTGAAGAAAGTTTAAGTGAAATAACAGTAAAGTGTGTTATAAGTGTTATAATGAAGGTTTAATTTATTCAATACCATAATGTCATTCTATTCTAAGTATACATCACTATAAGAAATAGATAAGAGGTAAAGTTGGTTTTATATTCACACATTCGTTCATTCAGAAGTCTCTATATTGTGTACTATGTTACTTTGAATATTCGATCAGATTTATTAGCATGCAAGTGTGACTTCTAAACAACATTAACACTGTTTATTTGACTGTGAACAATGTTGTACTTTGATAGTCATTGGCTGCTAATATGATTTCACTATTTAGAGTTTGCAAAAAATTACTTTTATGAAATTATATTATAAAGGGAAAAGTCAGAATGTGTGAATATAAAACCAACCTATCTCTATGAAATTGAGTACTAGTTTTAATCAGCTCATTTGTGGCTATTGTTTCTTGCTTGAGAAAAGTGTGTAATAAGTATTAATGAAATCTTTTACCTGATTTCTTATAGTTAATGACTCTCATATAAAGAAACTGTTGAAGCAAGTGTTGAAGAGAAGTTATTTTGTTTCTGTTCATTGTTTTCTTAATTTTAAACAGGACATTTTTATTGTTTTGTTCATTTTAAACAGAATAAAGTGTCCAAACACAGAGAAAAACTCCTGCTGAAGCGACTGATCTCCACACTGTTATAAAGATGCCGTTTATTAAAGAGGAGAGTGAAGATGTGAAGATTGAAGAAACATTCACAGTCAAACAGGAAGATCTGCAGGAACAAACAGGTTGATTTTCATTCTCAAATACCAACTCAGTCATTTGATCCTCATTCAGATATATTTTAATAATAAGAATACTAAATATAATCCATCTTGCAGCCCTGAGTGTGCTGCCTAATTCTCCTTAATTCACATAAGCACTCATTGAAAGACAGGAATGAGTTTCTTTTGTTACTTCTTCTCATGTCTTTTGTCATTATTTTATGTATTATTAGTCTCCCATTTTCTTTACCTTCTTAAGGTTATTGCTTTTCTTGTTCTCCTACTGTTTGTAAAGTGTCCTTAAGCACTGGCACTATATAAAATAAATAAAAACAATAAACAAATAAAAAAGTTTAACTGAGCTGAGGATATTTGACTTACAGTATTCCCATAGAACAGGGGTGTCCAAACTACGGCCCGTGGGCCAATATTAATAGAATCTGGCCACTATACAAAAATAAACGTAATTCAATAAATAACCACCGGGTATCGCTATTACATGCCTTAAATTAGTCATTACTTCTTGTTATGAAGTAAAACTAACCAACCAAACTGAAGGAAACATAATTGATAATCACATTTTGGCGAGCCATGGCGCACCAAGAAAAAGGAAAATCAACAGTCAGTGCAAGAAGTTTCAGTCACGTTGGGGCAAATAATTTTTCTTCACAGAGGTCAGCGGGAAATGTATCTGTTTAATTTGCCAGGAATCAGTTGCAGTAATGAAGGAATATAATATTAAAAGACATTATGAAACAAAGCATCAGGTCTTCAGCTCTTACACTGGTGCCGAATGAGATCAGAAAGTAAAACAATTAGCAGCGCCCTATCAGCTCAACAACAGCAGTTTTTTGTGCTATTAAAGTGCAAGAAAATTCTACACTGCACTGCAAAAAATGTTTTTTTATTTTTATTTATATTTTTTGTCTTGTTTCAAGTCCAAATATCTAAAAAATCTTAAATAAAGGAGAATATTCTAATTTGTTTTGAGAAATAATAAGCCAATATTAAGTGAGTTTTTCCTTAAAACAAGCTAAAATAATCTGCCAATGGGGTAAGCAAAATAATCTTGTTTTTCCTTTTGACATAAGATTATTTTGCTTACCCCATTGGCAGATTAATTTGCTTGTTTTAAGGAAAAAATTGCATATTAGGGAAAATATTAGCATTTTATTTCTCAAAACAAGACAACTTTTTTTTTTTTAGATTTTTTAGATATTTGGACTCAAAACAAGACAACAAAAAATCTAAGTAAGAAAAGCATTTTTTTGCAGTTTGGCGAGTTATGAGGTAGTTCAGCTAATCGCACAGCACAGGAAACCCTTCACTGAAGGAGAATTTATAAAGGATGAGTGTTGCAACTGTAATTTGCCCAGAGAAGATTCAAGTTTTTTAAAAACTTAAGTCTTTCTAGAAACACAGTTGGACGACCAAAATAAAATAATTTCTTAATAAAATACACGCACACATCCATCCATCCATATATATATATATATATATATATATATATATATATATATATATATATATATATATATATATATATATATATATATATATATATATATATATGCGTGTCTGTGTAATGTATGTAAAATTTGGCCCGGGACAACATTTGTTTTTGCATCTGGCCCTCGGCCCAAAAAGTTTGGACACCCCTGCCATAGAAGATATCTGCTATTACAGTGAGGGTGTTGGCTTAGTACTTTCCATTTGCATATGTCACGTTAATCACAATTCCCCTTTTTTCGATCAACTTTATGGGTTTAAAGTTGTTTCTAGAAGTTGTTGCTAGTTCTCACAGATAGTATTTGAGTTAGAATTACATCATTATTATAATAATTACCAGTACTATTTTATACAGGGTTTCCGCTGGGTCTTAAAATGTCGTAAATTCCAAAATCTAAATTTCAGGCTTTAAAAAGTCCTAAATTTACTGAAATATTGTGTTGTGGGTCCTAAATCTTTTTAAACAAGTCTTCATTTTCCTTTGTTCATGTTTTGCTACCCAATCTGGCCAAAACCCATACAATCACCAACAATCCATCTCAATAAAACTTTCCACTTTTTATTCAAAAAGGTCATTTTAACTCCATTTATCATAATGGTTTAATTATTTACTAATGCACTATGCACTAATTTGAAATCTGCTGAATGAAATGGACACTAAAGTAATTAATTATTATAAAACATTGTACAGTATTCTAAACTATATGATGTTCCTGTGGGACGACATGAGGGGAAAAAAAATTATAGTAGAACAATAACATTTAGCATTGCACTGACTTCAAGTGGCCAACAAACTAGTCTGAAAATGACTTTTGCTGATTAAGAAATGGATTACAGCATGCTGATGATATGCAAAAAATTGTTAACCCAGGGTCATTCTAACTCTGGGTCATTCTAAGGGTGCTTTCACACCTACACTTTTGTTTCGGAACGTATCTCGTTTGCCCAGTCAGCGCGGTTCGATTGGCATATGTAAACAGGGCAATCGCGCTCTGTTCCGCGCCAAAGTAATCGCTCTGAGATTGCTTGAATAAGGTGGTCTCGGCTCGATTGAAACGAACCCTGGAGCGGTTCGATTGCAGTGAGAAAGCGATCCGATCCGAGCGCGGTTATATGACAGTGTTTTATGGATATGTAATAGGCTTACGGTTATATGAAGAGAGAGTTATGAATAGGGCAGGAAGTTTCGCGAGTCTCCGGATGCCCGCAAATGAGTGATGATCTCCCGGTAATCTTGCGTCTCCCTCCCGGTCCTCAAATAGGCATCGTCACGCACCCTTCTCACCTCTCCTCACTGCATCTCTCCTCAGACACGTCACGCGTGCGCACCCTGTTAATCACCACCAAACCACCACCTCTCCTGACAGCTTAGCGGGACGCTGCAAAATAAACCCTGACACTGACCAAGGAGAGTTTACTCGCACGTGACTTGTTTTAGCTCTTTTAGTCCGTTTAGAAACTTTGCAGTGTGAAAGCGAACCGCTCCAAGAGCAAAGAGCAACAATGTAACATTTGTAATCTCTGTTTCGGGACAACTGAATCTATTCACAGGTGTGAAAGCACCCTAACTCTGGATAAACAGAATCCTGACCACCATATAACAGGAAGAAAAAGAAATCGTCTTTCTCGCCTCATTATGGATTTAGTTTCATCGGCTAGACACCGGCCTCACAGCTCCGTGGTTGTCAGTACTGTCACTTATTGTTCTGCGATCGGTAAATGTAGCTTGTGTGAACGCTACTTGACTAAAATAATAGCTTTGCTACACAAAAGCTATTTAATTTAAAAAGTAGTGACACTACCACCACACTACTGAGAAATGTAGATAAGCTAGTAGCGTTACTACTTGCAGTGACGTTACTGCCCAACACTGTGTGGTGGCAATATTTCTAATGTAGAAATGTGTTCATTACTGATAGCCAAAGCTGTTTCAGTAACCAAAGAGGTCTCCAGTGTACAGAACTGCACAATAGGTGATTGGTGCTGATGAGCAGTACTACACACGGTGTGTTTGGCACCCCTCATATAGTAATCCAGGGCCGTAACACCCATCGGTACCACGGGTACTCTGATTAGGTTTTTCATATAAATACTTGTGCTTGACACATTTGTTTCAGATTGTTATTTGCCTATTACAGTCTAAATGATGTAAATTCTAGTACATAATTTTTTAACTGTACCTTTAGAACCTTATAACAGCAATAAAAGCAGCATCGAAGCAGTCTCCTTTTAGTCATTCCACCTCTTCACGGAGACTGTCAGACTGATCTGGTGTATTAAAAAACTATTGTGGGTTCTGGAACTGAACAATAATGGTGTTCATGATGCTGGACATTCACTGGCACTAGATCCTCATCAATTTAAGAGTAAATCTCCCTTCTTTGCCATCCTCTGATGCGTTTAGGTTTCGCCGCAAAATTAAATTTTTGCTGTAGAACGCGCAATGCGGACATAAAGAACCTGACTGATATTCTACCGGAACCATGTCAGCAGAGTTCATGCATATCCATAAACTATAACTTCTATGTTAAACGGTTTTGAAACAATTTACATTGTAAAAGCACTAGATAAATAAAGATTAATTAAATTGAATCTGCTTAAATGTGGACACGTTAATGGACCAAACACAATATGATTTGATTTATTTTACATTTACTGTGCATCAAAATTTCAGTGTGTGTAGCCAATGTTTCCAGTGTCTTTTCACTTTTCAGCTTTTGATGAGAGTTTTTAAGACTTGATAACAACTAGTGTTTTTTTTCAGACCTAATTGAAGAGAATGAGGAGAGTAAAGAGGAGGAACATCATGTCAAAATTGAGGAAAAAACTCATTTACAGACTGATGGTATTTTGAAAAGGAGAGACAAGAATCATTTCACCTGCACTCAGTGTGGAAAGAGTTTTGGAAGAAAACACAATCTTAAGATTCACATGAGGATCCACACTGGAGAGAAACCATTCACATGCACTCAGTGTGGGAAGAGTTTCAACCAATCATCAAACCTTTATAATCACATGATGATCCACACTGGAGAGAAACCATTCAAATGCACTCAATGTGGGAAAAGTTTTAACCGCTCATCAGACCTTCATCAACATATGAGGATTCACACTGGAGAGAAACCATACACATGCACTCAGTGTGGGAAGAGTTTTTACTGCTCATCACACCTTCATCAACACATGAGGATCCACACTGGAGAGAAACCATTCACATGCACTCAGTGTGGGAAGAGTTTCAGCCAATCATCACACTTTAAGCAACACATGAGGATCCACACTGAAGAGAAACCATTCACATGCACTCAGTGTGGGAAGAGTTTCAGCCAATAATCAAACCTTAATCGACACATGAGGATACACACTGGAGAGAAACCATTCACATGCACTCAGTGTGGGAAGAGTTTCAGCCAGTCATCACACCTTAATCAACACATCATGAGCCACACTGGAGAGAAACCATTCATGTCTAATCATCTTGTTTAATCCCGCCCCTTTTCGCAGTGCCGTACAACAGAATTTCGCATACTCAATAGTGATGGGAAGTTCGAATCATTTTACTGACTCGGATCTTTGAGTCTCGTTCATCGAGATGAACAAATCTTTTTTCGAGTCATTTCGTTCATTTGGTTCAATTTGCCAAAATATTATTAAAATGTTACGAATTGCTTCCAAACACATCTACAACTAGCCCAGAAGGTTCATCACACGACAAATAAGTCATAAATAAATTATAAGAAGAAGAAAATAATAATTCAATGTTTACCTGCTCTTTTGTCTATAGGCATTGTTGTCTGTTTGCTCAGCTCACCTCTTCATGTCTTCAAATGTCAGTGGTGCGTTCAGGTTACACTGACAGTCACATATAATCTTAACCAATGTAAACAGTCTGAGCCGATAGGAGCCATGATAATTAGTTCACCTTTCGAGTCTTCTGGTTGTTGAGTCGTTCGTTCATCACGTGACAGAATAACTCAAACCGGAGGACTCGAGAGTTGAATAGATCAATTCTTTTTTTTTTTTTTGGCTCTAAACGCATATGATTGGCCCGTGATGAACGAATGATTCAAACCCGAGGACTCGAGAGGTTAACAGATCAATTCTTTTTCTGGCTCTAAATGCATATGATTGGCATATAAATGCATATGTTAGGCTGTAGTCTTTCATGTGGTGAACGAACGACTCGATAGAGGACTCGAAAAATGAACTAATCTTGTCTCGCACTACACATCGTGCACATGAGAGAATTAATAAATCTTTTAGTTCATCCGAGTCATTCATTCATTTTGTCACATAACATGAAAGAAAGCATAAGAGATGAGTTATTTAATAAATCAAATAGTCTTTGTGAATAGTTTTGTAACATGATGCTGCCAGCATTAGACACTTAAACACTGTTTATGTGTTGTTTATTGTTTTATTATTATTATTATTATTTTACCAGAAAAGCTTTTATAACAAATCCGATTACTTTATAAATCACGACAATAAAATAAGCAAAAGAAAAACAAAATAGTGCACATCAAGCTAGGCTTTTTAATAAATAAAAACAAGTAAGCTTTAAATTAAATAACACGTTTGTGCCATTAAAGCTTTATATCAAATATGACAACTCTTCCCAGTAGATGTTTTTATGAGCAATAACATAAAAAGATGTTTTAACAGCAATTTAAGTGAAAGATATTATAAATAAAAAACAAAAGCCACAGAGCCTAATGAGCTTAACAACTTGGCTTGAGAATACAACAGTGCATTTTTAAAAAAAAATTAAAATTAAATAAGCTTTAAAACAACACTGTGTGGCTTTACTTGTTGGACTTGGCTTAAGGTTTGTTAGCATTTAAAAACACAAGCTCTGAACCTTTGATAGGCTGAGTCTGTTTCTTCTTTTGTCATTAGTTGTTGGTCGCAGGATAAAAGATGCTAAATGAGTAAATGTAAATGCAAACTTTATACAAATATTAGACCAATATATAAAGTCTGCATAGAAAAACATTATTAAACAAAAAATGGAGTATAAATGAACAAATTACAAATCACTTGTAATTGTAGAATTTAATTAATCTATTGCCTAGCTTAGTGTTTGTTTTCTGATAGCAAGCCAGCAAATAGACAAATCAATATATATATATATATATATATATATATATATACTAGATATAAACCACATATCCAGTAGAAAAAAAGTAACAATAACTTAGTGACCATAGGACAGAACTTTTTTTAATTTTTTAGAAAATGCTTTTTAGGTACACATTGTTTGATGATTTTATAAAAAATTTAAAATATAATCATATGATGCAACAAAAATTCAGTTTTACATAAATATTATTGACTGAGGTTCTCGTTGCAGAGTACAGGGGAACTACAGTTTAAGAATAGAAATGCACATAATAGTGTAAGGATGGCTATATCTCTCCATAATATTCAAATCTGCAAACTGTTATGGAACTCCACACGAGACAAGACCGTGAGAATAGTAAGGCACTAAAACAATAAACTTTCCAATGTGAGAAGAAGATCAGCTAGAAAACCAGTTGTTCAGTTTGTCTCGATCATGCATCCTGAGTCGCCCTCTTTGCCCTGGACTTTACCTTCTCCACCAGAGCAGCTCACTCACATTCAACACAGAATGTTTAAGTTTTTAATATGGTGTATCTTGTGGCTTTATATTCATGTTTGGTGTGATTTGAAATGTCTCTGTGTGATTGGTAAAGTGGTCTTAATTTCACTGTAATATTTTACAATCTCCCTTATTTCAGTTAATTTGGGTTTTGACTTTAAAAAGATCTTTGCCAGATGCTTCACTCCAGGAAAAATGGTCTTCGCATCAACTCATGACCAGGCAAGAGTCTTAGTGAAGCTTTTATTGTCTTGATTTTAAGATGATTTGAGTATTTAGGCAAAGGGTGCAGAAGTGTCCATGTGATCCTGTAGACAGGATACCCCATTGCAGGTTGTGAGTCTCAGAGCTCTGCATCAGGACTTATATGCTGCAATGTGTTTCTACAAGGTCAGGTATTCCTCTTTAACTCTTAAATGTATCTTTGAGTAATTGATGTTGTACAATCTTGATTGGCTTATTTTGTTTAATTATGTGAACTGGAATGGAAAATCTTTTCCTGACAAATAAATGTAAAATTCTTGTTTAATTCTAATATATCCTGAAATCATTTAAATCCAGTAGGCTGATGTTTCCGCAGCCTACAACCAGGATTAGTCATACATTCAGGCGCAATGGATGGAGCATGGGCACAGCATTAGAGACCTGTTGATTTCTGACAATCACTGATGATATCATCTAGGGGCTAAATCAAACTTTCTTTAAGTATGAGCAAGCATGGGGCGGCCTTCTATTACTTGAAGGAAATTAGCATATCTGCTAAGAATCGGAACTGGAGAAGATGTGTCCGTGAGCAGATGAAACTGGCCAGCATACTGACTCTAAGCGACTTTGAGTAAACAATTAAACATTAATTGAATATAAGGATTTATTAGGTTAATCAATCTAAATTAGACCTAATCACAACCTATAAGGTAATCAGCTTGAATTAGATGAATCTAAATCTAAAACTATTATAAATTGGAGTCAGATTAAAATTTAGAGCTAGAAACAAATTAAAATAAATTATAAAGAACAAAAATATTTCTTTTCACATGTGCTAAAAGGTTTACACGCATTTAACCTTCACCCATGCTGTTAGCTCTGTCATGGGACTAATAGATGGACTCTTACATGTGTGTGTATTTATATAGTTTATAACCATAATAGTTCTACAGTTTCTTCTATTTCACTTGTTGGTTTCTATTTTATTGCATATTTTATTTAAATAGTGTATTTATTTTGTTAAAGAGCCCATATTATGGGTTTTTGAAAATGCCCTTCCATGTAGTGTGTAACAGCTCTAAGTGAAGTGAAATATCCAGCTAAGGCTTAAATCTGTAAGTGTACAGTGTTTAAAACTGTTGATTCATCTATAAAAGAGTCGACTAATAGTGCTTCAAATGAGTCGTCTTGATAACGAGTCATTAGATGTTTCATGATGTTGTATCTACGAAACACAAGTAGTTGCGTGCGCAAACCCGGGAGATTTGAAACCTGCGGCCTCGCCCACTAACACAGAAAAAAAGCCACACACACACACGCACGCGCCGGTCGAATGTGACGTCACACTGTGCAGATGGATATTATTGAGTCTCTACCCAAAGATGAAACCTCAGCATTAGCCCAGCCTTGAGCAGTTTAAGTGCTTCTGGAAACTTCATGCTTTAGACTGGGTGTATATTACATGCTTAATATTCAATTTTTAGACTGTATGTGTGTGTGTGTGTGTGTGTGTGTGTGTGTGTGTGTGTGTGTGTGTAGGCCTATTATTATTTAAAATAAAATTTTTAAATAAAATTGATTATATTATGTACAAAATATTATTCTTTATAATTATATCCAGTTCCCCTAAAAATTTGCTTAAATACCATATACATTTATTAAATAAATAAAACCAAGAAGTAAATAACTGTTTGGTCTGACAAGTTTTCAGGACATATCAAATTTCAGCACAACACTAACTAACTAGTCTCACTCACACACACACACTTGTACACACTCTCACTAACACACTCACTCTTGTACATGCTCTCTCTCACACACACCTACATTCTATCTCAATTCAATTCAGAAATACTTTTTTTAGCATGACTGTAAATGATACAATGTTGCCAACACAAACACATAGACATCTCACAGACACATGTACATGCTCTCACTCACAAAGATAAGCCCTACCTCTCACACACACACTTCTACATGCTTTCTCATAAACATGTACTGGCTCTCTCTCTCTTACACACACTACTACATGCTGTCTTTCACTCACTCACACACACACACACACACACACACACACACACACACACACACACACACACACAAACAAATGTGCATTTGATACTTATTTATATAATTTTATGTGCTCATTAGGCTTACGATAGGTGGTTGCATTGTAATTATTTGGTCATAAAGGTATTAATTGTTTTAAATAGTTTTTCAGCTAATAATGTTTGTGATGTCATACATGCTACAAAAGGCTTTTGAAGCTGACAAGACGTGGAGCAACCATGACCAGAGCGTTCCAAAGAGAAGGTGTCTCTCAAAATGCAGTGGCCCAGCTCGCTGCAATTGCAGAGCTGTACTTTGCTAACAGGGAGCAATTTAACAGAATCAGCTTCACACCAGGAAAATGAACAGAGTTCGCTCAAAAGTGTAGAGAGCTCATTTTTGGAGATTTTTGCATAAAGGTTGTATCAATGAAAAGGAAGGGTTCTTTTGTATCTTTCTTTGTTCACTAATGCTCCGGTTTACTGTTGGTAAAATGTAGAAGCAAAAACCTACAGCACAATAAGCTGAGCCTATAATGCCAAAAAATATATATATATAT